ACTTGATGCACAGGAATTAGCTTTCCAGCCAGCATATCATAGACATAAAGAACTTTGCTGTGAGTGCTCGTGGCTAAAACCTCTTCTCCATTAGCACTGAAACAAGCCTTAAAGATTGGAAACTTTTCGAAATAGATGCTCTGAATTTTAGGATTTGTTTTTCCATCAACCTATAAGGAAGTACAAAATGTTCCTTTTGGTTACTTCCACAAACCCTGTACGCTGACTATAAACACTTCTCACTACAATGCTTCATTTAAAAACGCCCACCTGAAAGAGCGATACAGCGTTATCTAGTCCAGCGACCATCACAACCTGTGCACAGGGATGGAACTGCACAGACGAGACCCGAGCAGTGGTAGGACGTTCAGCGTTAGCGTGTTGGCAGTTCTTCATCTACAGAAAAATAAAACTGGAATTTTATCAATTCAAATGGGTTAACATTATTTTCTTTAAAGCATGAAGAAAAAACATTATAAAGTAGTTTGCAATGCAGAACAAAGTGCACTGCAATGGTAACCAGAAGACCACAGCTCTGCTACCAACCAGCAAGTCATTCTGCTATAAAAGAATCCATTTTGACCATCTTTCAAAGAAAGGGATTAAATCACTAAGGCCTTAGAACACCAGAATATAGTTACAATATAGTTACTTCCCCAGCATACATCCATTTGGGTTAGGAGACTTTTATGCCCAGAGAAATTTTACTTAAAACTCCTACTCTGGCACCTGTGCATTCATGGTACAGAGGTAAGAGGCACTGGGTAGGCATCCCCACAGTTCTACGGTTGGCAATTCCTTGTGTTCTTCTCTCAGGGTACATGGTTGCTAGTTTAAAGTAGTGATGAGTTCATGCATCATTTGGACTATTTTCAGTTATTTTTCTGTTTTTACATGTCTTCCCCTCTGCATTAAAAATTCACTAATATAAAAAACAAAGTATCTTATGTGTGTTTTGTTGGAAACCAAAGTTAAATTTTATGGTGATTATTATTTTCTTTTTTAGCTCACTCTAATTCTTATTTTTTATTGACATGTAGTCGATTTACAAATGGTGACTGCATTTTTAACAGGGGTGAATTCACCCTATATGGAATTAAGTGAGTTATCTTCATAGGATGAGCAAAATAACTCTAACAGTTATTATAATAGGGTCCCATAAACCAATACACATGCCACCATTTTATAATGAGGAAAAATACCTATGTCAGAGAGAAATCTGGTCATTGATATTATATCAAAGCAAGTGCTGGGTAAGCACTTGGTTACCACAATAAACAAGAGAGACAGTGATGAAGTAGAAAGTAACTAGTAGGCCACTTTAGATAGGATGGCCAGGAAAGACGTTTCCAGGTGTCATCTGAGCAGAAAGGTAAGAATGAGTTGGCCACTGGCAGTTTGAAGAACAGACAAGCAGAAGAATGAGCAAGAGCAAAAGTTCAGAGGAAAAAAGGGGTCGGCATGTACAAGAAACAGAAAGAAGGCCTGTGTGGCCTGAGTAAGGAATAAGAGGAAAGGGATAAGGCAGAAGCCAGATCATGTGAAAGGCAGTGTAGACTAGAGTACGGAATTCACAAATTTTTCAAAGAGCGGTGAAAAGTGACACAACATGATGTTTTATTTTTCAAAGACCCCTCAGGTTACTGTAGAAAGACCAGTTTGGAAATGGAGAGTTTAGTCACAGAGCTGCAGTGCACTGGGTGAGAGATGACAGCAGTAGGAACTAGGCTGGTACTAACAGAAAGGACAAGAAATGCAAAAGGAAAAATCAAATCAGATTCCCAAGATTCCTGAGGACATAATTTAATCTTACCATCACTTCTGCAAAAGGAAAAAACCTAACATAAATATTTACCAAGGCAAAAATGATAGCAAGCACATTTAATTCCCCAGAAAAATGGAGTCAACACATTTGTAACTGGGAAGCATAC